AAGAGAAAGAACAAAGATGGCGGCATTCAGCCCAGTGTGCCAGAAATGCCTTGTGGGGAACTCAAGTGATATGTAACAGCCCCCAAAGTTCTTGGTTTTGGTTGTTTTGGGGGTTCTTTCTGGACACGAGAGCCCTCTGATTCTATCTACCTGCTACTTGGTAGGTCATGGCTGGGCCCCATGAAGATCCCACGGCCCTGCAGAAACCGTGCTGCGTCTGCTGCAGGATGCGTCTGCCCTCTCCTCGTTTGGCCCTTTCCTTGGCAGCTCCTGCCTCTGTCCACGGGCTTGGCCCCATCTGGCTGGCAGCCCTCTTTCCTCTCTAAGTAATCAATGCTCTCTTTGTGTTTAGACCCAACAGCTACTCCCGTCTGGCAGCTGCTGGACAGGAGACACATGCAGAGGGCACCCTGCCAGGGAGCCTGTGCTCTGAACTGGATACCCAGCCTCCCAGACTAGAAGCCCCCTAAGGAGGGTCCCCAAGAGCCAGCCACAGAGGCTCAGCCACAGCTCTGTCCACTGGGTCCCCAAATATCCTTGGTGTAAGCCATGTTCAGGAAGCTCCGGGAAGTGTTCTGCAGCTCAGAAGGGCACCTCTGGAGGTGAGAGCAGGGGTGCCCCAGAGGCCAGGAAAAAAGCCACTAGAACATCTAATTTGGAAAAACAGAGCTGCCTTGCTCATACCCCAGTCCTTTTCAGGAGGAGGAAAGGCCTCGCTCCTTCTGTTGAAAGGGGACTGTGTGTCTGTCTGGATACCTGGGAATTCCTGCATTGGGAATTCTGGAGTGGGAGCAGGGAGGGTTCTGCCGTCTGGGACCCTTCCTTTATGCACAAAGGCTGATCATACCAAACCGTGCAGCTAGAAGCCAAAAGCTGCACATTCTCTCTTGATAGCTTTAAAAAAATTGTTTTCCAGTGGTGGAGTGGGGAGGGTACATACTTTCTCCAGGATTAAGGGTTTTACTGGCCTCGACCACGGAAAAGTCCCAACCAATATGTTGCATAGAAGGCAACTGGTTGAATTCTGGCAATAGTGGGAATAGGTGTGGATCATGCCCGTGTGTCATCGGCTTGTAACCAAGGAGCAGCCAGCCCCAGACCCATACATCTAACGGATGTAAAAGCCACACAATCAGGGGCTTGACTTTCATATTGGTACAAGGGTATTTCCAACTCTCGGAGCCACCTCCCATCGCCCCCAGTTCTGCACCAGGGTATTCAGGCAGGGGACAGCTTCCTAAACTAGAGGAGAGGATGTTCTCAGCCCCTGCTACGAGGTGCGTGGCGGATACACGACCTTGACAACCGGACACTGACACTGTAAGAGGTGATGAAAAGCCTTAGCAACAGGCAGGTAAATGACACAAAGTATGGCCACCAGCCCCAGGCAGTGTGAGAGCACCTAGCAGAGACAATGGAACCAGGGAGCCATTTGTCATTGAAAAGTTAGAATTTTAAAAATCCCCATAAAATAATCAAAGCTCTAATACCACCCAGCTGGCTTCCCTGTTGTGATGGAAAAAATTGCTTCCCTTGGGTGGTAGACTGGGAGAAAAGAGCCTCTCCTCCCGATTTTATGTAGGTACCTGTTTCCCGGAGGTTGGGCAGCATTGTGACAGGCCGGATATTCTCTCGTTGGCTACTAGGCCTGAAGTGAAGCACAAAACTAGTGTCCCAATTTAGTTTTCCTTATTAAGAAGCAAATACAACAAGCTAAATGCCTTTCAAAAGTCTGTACCCCTGCAGACTGTGCCCCTTGGGGAACATTCTCTGCAGCACAGCAAAGGGGCCCCAAATAAGCCAAGTTGGCAAAAGGCAGGGCTCGAAGTGAGCAACAAAATCTGTGTCCCACGCATGTCGTTTGCCCTGTGGGATGGACCCATGGACAGATCCTTTTGTGCTACCACCCGCATGACTGACACAGTGGGGAGGATTTACCCGGTGCTGGAGGAGTCCCCTGTCCATGCTTTGAGAAGGCCCCGAGGGAGCCTTCACGCTAGAGTGGCTCATGTGATCAGCTGCAGAGACCAAGTGCTCACACCTGCTCTCTTGGGGGGCGGGGCGGGACCCAAATGCTCTGGGTGAATCCACAGAGAGAGGGCAGGGGCCAGGGAGGCAGCACGGTGGATCTGGGGGTGGGATGGGGGATGACGGACTTCCTGCCACCCAAGAGCTGCCCAGAGAGCATTTTCAGAAATTTCTGGAAGTTGCCATGGGCACGATGCAGCGATGAAGCTGCCAAGACGTGGACCATCTCAGGACGCATCTGCTAACTCACACAGAAATCGTGTTCAGAGGGCATTAGAGGGACCTGGGAATATTTAAATCACGGCACATGGGAACAATCTCCTGAAGATTTTTCACCCTAATGAGCAAATTCCCCGTTTATTCAAGCAACAAGCATTTGCTGAGAGCCTGTCACATACACAGCACAGACTACAAAGCAAGGAAAGATGGGGACAGGACAGAGGAGGCCAGTCTGCCCCTAGTGCCCTCTCACTGTCAGGGCTGACAGGAGGACCACGGCCCCGTGGGAACACCCGTGCTCACTGAGGAGGGTCTCCGTGTCTCTCCTCTGGGTCCCAGGGGAAAAGTCCCCAGTGTGGCAGCAGAACCCACCCTGTTCCAGCACCTTAACCCCACCAGCGCATTTCACACCTGGGGAAGGTGGGGAGGAGGGAAGGAACTGACTCTTTCCCAGTCCATCTCACCTCTGTCCACCTCCACCTTAAGGAGAGGGAGGGGCCCTAGGACTCAAGGAGGAGAAAGGCCAGGAGGAAAGAAGGGTGTCTGGCAAGGAGGCCACCCACACGCTGCCCGATACCCAGCCTGTGTGGGGACTCCCGTGTCCCCAGGGCTGGGCTCCTGCCAATGCCATAAGGCATGCAATTCCTCATCAAGAGGGAAGAGGGACACTTTCTTCCCTGGGGACCTAGACCCTGGGCAGCCCAGGAGGGGGTCTTTGGTTGGGGTCTGCAGTACTGCCCTAGAGTGATGGCCTACCAGGTTTAATCTGGCTCCGGGAAGGTGATGCCTTATCAACTGCTTGGGTCTGTAATGGCAGGGGACTGACAGGCAGAAGCAAGGAACAGCCCTAACAGGTGGTGGGTAATGAGCAGGCGAAAACCCACAAGGGCTGGGAGGTCTGTGCACACGGGTGAGAACCACAGAGGCCAGCAGACCGAGGGTTACAGGAAGGGGGGGTGGTGGGATGACTCTGACCTGCCCACAGTGCCCTTAACCATTAGTCTCACACTGCAGCTGACCCAGAACCTTCCTCCAGGGCCATGTTCTTAGACACCACACACCCTTCACCCTGACTGTGCCTGAACTGGTCAGGGCAAATCCCAAACCAGAAATCAACGGGAACCACCTGTTCCTGCTCCTGTAGACATTTTCTATCTGAGTTCCACGGCTCATTTTTCTTTTCTGCCCCCAATTAGCACAGCTAAATGTATATTTTTTTAATTGCCTATTTTTGAAGCAGAGTAATTACCCTATGCTAATTAGCTTCAGGAATAAAATAAAGGAAGTAATCCTGTGTAATGATAAAAGCGTTATTTTAAAATGAAGGCCTAACTAACCAAGCAATTCTTTAAACTTGTAATGGAAAAATATTTAGTTAAAAAAGAGAATTTTTCACCTACAGTGTACGTATAGTTTCCTAGATACAATAAATGCATAGGTCCTTTAAGGAAGTCACATTGGCACATTAAAGTCAAAAGAGAATTAGCCAGGAGGAGTGCTCTATTTACTAAAAACATTATTTTTTAGTCTCAAACTGCAACTGCTATATACTTTATAATCTCAGGTGGATTCTGCTAAGGAAGAGGTGGTGAATTAGGACGTGTTCTCTGAAAGCTACACGAGGATTCAGAGAAGTGAACACCAGCGGGGACACGATTAGGGGCCATGTGGCCTGTGCCTTGTAGCTAAACATATTTTTTGGTCTTTATCAGGAAAAAATAAGGACATTGGATAGGGATAGATATTAGGATATGAGTTGGGGCATCCAGGAGTCAATTAAATATTTGATGAAGTTTTAACTCAGACAATAAGAAACAACCACAAGACATACCCCCCACCCCTGCCCCCCAAGGATGGCCAACCCACTGGCTGAGCCAGGAAGGGTGATGATCTGGAGCTTGAGCCCTGCTCTGCTACTTACTGGCCGTTGACCTTGAGTCACCTGACTGCTCCAAGACTACAGTTTCTCTTAAACAGGGAGAATAATCCCTACTTACATCACAGGGCAGTTCTGAGAATCAGGGTAGAGACAGAAGCACTTTGAAACCCAGATGAGTCTGTAGGATGGAAGGGACCCAGCGAGTACAGTAAGAGGGCAGAGTGGTCCCGAGGGCTCTGAACCCCCTTGCATTTAAAGTTGATACTGATGAACCTACGGGCTCTCTGGCCTCCCACTGAGATAATTTGTTAGGAAAGTCACCATTGTCCTCAACTTGAAGACCACCGAGCCCAACAGCTAAGCAGAGAAACAAAAACAGAAGCCTTAACGTGGCTGCAGCTCCTAACACTGATGCGGGTCCAGAATGGAAGCCTGGTGACGGAGTCCCGTCCCATCTTAGGCTCACGCTCACCTAAAGGACACAAGCTTGAACACTTCCTCCTCCTGAAAGCCAGGAGGCCTTCTAGAGCACAGCCAGCAATTCCACCTCGCGCCACAACCTGTATGTCTCAGGAAGGAATTCACGATTGGATTTGAACGTCTCACCAACGACCGATTATCCGTGAAGCACTAAACACCTCCTGCCTTCACCCCATCATGGGTGGTTCCCATCCAAGCAAAATATCCCAATATGAAAAGTGCAGCAAATCTGATAGACTTTTGCAATAGAAACATTAAAAAAAATTAAAAAAAACCCTCTATATAAAATTAATTGTGCTGTCTTTTCAGAAACCACGAAGGGTTTGTGTTCGTAAATCTTTTTAATATATATTTGAGAGCTATGAAGCAGTTGAAATTGTTTAATATTTTCCTGTCTATTTTTGAATCAGCCTCCCATCCTTAGCCTTTCATGGGTAGCAAACTCTAAGGTTCAAGAAACTTCGTTCTAAAAATTCCAAGTGGTGGTTTTCATACTTGCCTCCAGCTAACCGGAGAACAATTGGTTGTTTTTCAGGAAATCTCTCTTCTTGTCATTAACCATTACTTCCGGCACACTCATTCCAGTTCAGCAGGCTATGAAATTTGTTGGGCCTACAAACAATTAGGTCTTTGAACAGGGTGGTTTTGAGAGTAGAGCAATAACAGAGACATGACAAACCCAAACTGACAGCGCGTCGCGTCGCACAGAAGGTCTGGAATGTACGGCTGTGAACTACAATCTCCACTGTGTCTCTGAGTTAGCGCCCGTTTAGACATTAGTCTCTCACTCTTTTCTATATTCCAGACCAAACGTCTTAGTGCCAGTGCAACACGATATACATAGGATTCGTTTTCCCTAAGTGCTACCTTTTTGGTCCCCATCTTTTTATGTGGAATGATATTTTTCAAGTATGATGATTTATATGACATTTTATTTTTAATATTTCATTGCTCATTCTCTGAATGCATCCATAAAAGTGCTAAGAATATTCACTCGCTTTCTCTCTTCTGCTGTGAACAACTGTTTCCATTCTTCCAATGCTTCCAGAAAAAGGGGTGGACCGTCTGCCTCATGGCCCCAAACCCCCAACAGGTTGAGGCCTTGCCCCGTCTCAACCGTGAGTGCTTCCAGCAGCAGTCAGAGGCTCTAAGTGGCACATGCTGCCTAAGGGACCCACACCCTCTGGCCCAGAGGTGACACTTGAGAACAACAGTCCTATTTTGCACTTGTCCCTGGAGGCCTCACGCTCACCGACCGCCTCATTTTCGCGGCTGCAGTGCAATAGAAGCACAGACGGAACAGAGACGTCCTTCTGACTCAAGTGTCGAAAGAGATGTGACACATGCCACATCCCTGTGGCTAGCAGCTCAGAGGTCTGTGCAGCTGCTCAGATAGCGGCCCCCAGATCTTGCCTTGGGGGGCAGAACTCCAAGGAGGACGCCCAGCACCCTGGCCCGTGACCAGACAAAGACCACGATGGCTCTTCCTTCCAGTGTATGAAAGAACAGACGGCGGCTGCCGACGTGGAGAGACTCATGGTGCGGGAAGGGGAGAGAAAGGAGGATGCCGGCGCCAGAGTGTCCAGAACAGCTCCCGGGGGGGCGGCTCAGCTTTAATCATCTTCTCGGCACATCGGCAAGTTGACGAAGGTGAAGACGTTAAACTCGATCATTATTGAGAAGCACAAGAAGATGACGTAGAGAACCAGCACATAGATCCCCAGCTTGCGGTCCAGCCTCCATTTATTTAGATGGATGCCAAGGACCTGGAAGGAGAGAGTGCAAGGATTGGGCTTAGGGGCAGAGAAATACAAAAGGCGTTTTTACTGAAAAACTATGCACAAATGATGAACCTCAGAACTTTCTCCAAAATGTGGTTAAGAGCAGAAGGGCACTGTCAGGTATATCCTTGGTCTGATCAGAACAAGCCCTGCAGGCTTTAGCCTTGTCTCATGAAAGGGCGAGCCCCTGGTCCAGTTCTGCTGACTGCAGGGACACACAGCAGCTGTGCTCATGGGACCTGCCCTCTCCGGGCAGGCACACCACTTCCTTGGGACACGTGTCCCCTCCCGACCCAGTCTAGGCACCGAGGTCCTCCCTGCCCAGACCTTCTCTAGTGACAACCAGGGTCTATTGCTGGGTGCTCCCTCTGCTTCAGCCCTCTCCAGCAAAACTTCCAAGGCTCCTATTGGCCCACAGTCCAGGAAACTTCAGCTGGGACCACCTTTTCTTGTGTGTGTGTGTGTGTGTGTGTGTGTGGGGGTGGTTAGACAGGGGTGGAGCACGTCCTCTTTCTACAGTCTTTCTAGACTCTCCCACACTTTCCTTCACTGCTTTCCTTTTTATCCTTGAATTGAGGCTTCCTACCGGTTGCATCACAGTTACCTCATCAGAGCAACATCATGGGTCCTATAGAGACAGACCAATCCGGGTTCAAATCCCAGCTGTGCCATTTACTAACCCTGTGACCTTGGGCAAGGTACTTAATCCCCGAGCCTTGATTTTTTCTGTAAATTGGGAATGGTATTCATAAGGACTGAATACATAAGCAGAGGTAAAGGTTTAGCACAGTCCTGGGCATGCAGAGTAAAGAGACTGCAGGATTACCATGTGCCAGCCCTGAGGCCTGACCATCCTGCCCCCATCTGTCAGCTCATCTGGGCTGGGGGAGGATTTCTCTCCTCCTGGCACCATGAGACTGGATGGGTGGCAAAAACAGATGAAATATAATTTGCTTCCTCTGGTGACTTCCTGGTTGCTCAGGGAACAGTGTAGTGACGGGTGCCAACATTCTTGGCACAAATTGTGTCTGGGGTTATCTGAATTTATATCTTTTTGTTGTTGTTGTTGTTGAGGAAGATTCACCCTGAGCTAACATCTGTGCCAATCTTCCTCTATTTTGTGTATGAGCCGCCGCCACAGCACGGCCACTGACAGACAAGTGGTGTAGGTCCAGGCCAGGAACCAAACCTGGGCCGCTGAAGTGGAGTACACCAAACTTAACCACCAGGCCACAGGGCCGGCTCTGAATTTACATCTTTCCTCAGCTTTATCTCTCACTCCCAGGGAGACGCAAGAGGGGTGTGACTGGGCAGAATCCCATGAAATGAAGCATGCACGAGGCTTCCAGTTTGGAAGTGTAAAAACTCACAGTGAGAGCAACAGAGCCCAGCAGCAAGACCACGGAATAGACCAGACCCCGGCTGTTGATCTTCACCTGGAAGAGTAAACACACGTGCCCTGAATCTCTGGGCTGCTTGAGCCCCCTCCATTCCGAGAGCCCAGGGTACTCTGGTTTATTCCTTCCTTCATCTGGAAAGCACAGGTGGGTGTCCACAGTAAGCACGTGGCCGTGGAGGGTCAGCTGCCTGTGGATTCGAGTCTCGACTCTGCTTGTCCGAGGCAATGCACCAGGAGAGGACAGGCAGGCAGGCCAGCGGGCTGAGATATGGGGTGGAGACACCGATGAGGCTGCTCTGGAAGCCTTCACGGAAAGAAGGTGCCAGGTGCCAAGGAGAGGGGTGAAGCATGTCCCTTGGAGCCCTTGGCTGGAACAGGGTCAATGCCACTACCATTCCCCACAAAGTGCAAGTGCCCAGTGTCCCTGTCGCTTACTCAAAGGGTGAGAGGAACTTACTGTGGATCCACAATTAATAACCATGGTCTGCAGGCCCCACGGTATGCCGAGTCCAACTAGGATGTCAAACACGTTGCTTCCTATGGTGTTAGAGACCGCCATGTCACCAAGGCCTGGAGGAGACAGTTGATACGTGTCATTCATTAAGAGAAGGTCACCGGAAACCCCTGTTCTTTCCCATAACTGTTCTATTAGAGCTATTCCTTAGAAAGGAGTTCCTTCTTCAAGGACCCCACATTTCTACAACCTTTTTCTGAGGTCTAAATCCACTCCCTTCATGAAGTCTACAGGGCCTGTTATGGGTTGAATTGTGACCCCCAAGATGCATATGTTGGAGTCCTAACCTCCAAACACCTCAGAATGTGACCTTATTTGGAGACAGGGCCTTGACAGGGATTATCAAGTTACAATGAGGTCATGAGGGTGGGCCCTAATCCAGTATGACCAGTGTCCCTATATAAGGAGGAAACTTGGACACAGACAGCAGAGAAGGAACATGAAGACGGCCGTCCATAAGCCAAGGAGAGAGGCCTGGGACAGATTCTCCTTCACAGCCCGCAGAAAGAACCAACTCCGCCGACACCTTGATCTTGGACTTCCAGCCTCCAGCACTGTGAGGCAATAAATGTCTGTTGTTTATGCCTCCCAGTTTGTGGCACTTGGCTACGGCAACCCTAGGAATCTAAGAGGGCCTTTCATTATTTCTCCTGCCAGGTTCATCAGCCGATGTTCTCTGAGGACCCACTATGTGCTTCGCCTCAATTAATCCTCCCAGTTACTCTGGGAGGGAGGGGGCATCATCCTCACGTGGCTGATGATGAAACTGAGGCTTAGGACGTGCCCAAGGTCACACAGTTTGTGAGTGGTCCAGCATCCTTCACACCAAGCCACAGTGCCTACCTGTGGCCCAGGCGATGCTGCCACGTCCTTGGCTCAGATGACAGGGCATCGGGTCTTATGCCCTGGTGGCTTCTGAAGGGTGAAATCTTTTCTCCCAACCAGACCAGAAGCATCTTAGAGGCCAGAGGCCGTGCCATCATCCCCCTCTTCCTCCCCAACTCTCCACTATCACGCCACCACACAAGCCGGGGAACTTAATAACTTGAAGGGTATCAAAAGCTAGAAAATAAACTTTTACAAATAAGACTCATGCTGGCTGACATCTGTTCTAACCCGGCCACATCGCCCTAATGCAACATGACAGTCGTAATCGGGCACACACAAAAATGTCTGTGGAATGAACAAGGCTGAAACCATAAAATTGCTTTGGTCATTGAAAAACTCACAGCAACTCAGACCAGCATCAGACGACTGACTCGCCTCCGTCTGACCACTTGCCTGCTGGTGCAAGCCAGGTCACCTACACTCCCGCCCTGTTGCTGTCATCGGCTGACCTCCAGGACACAATGTCTCCCTCCAGGGCCTCACCTTCTCCCTCCCTGCCTGCCCCAGGCACTTGTTCTGAGGGTCTTCACAATCCTGGCAGCTTAGGCCTGTTAGGGGCGCTATCTCTAGGAAACTGTTCTGCCAGTCTCTCATAAAACACAGGAACGTGCAGCAACTGTTCTGGACCAGCTACCAGCCCTGGTGAGGAGGCAGGCGCTGGCTGGATAGGTCAGGAGGCAGAAGGATGCCCGAGTTTGGGAGGAGAGGGATAAGCATTTCTCCGGTTTGGCGGACCTCCTGCTCTGCCTGGGCGCTGCCCTTGAGGACTCTTATGGCAGCACTTCTCAAACTTTAGGAGGACAAGACTCATCTGCTAAAAAGCAGATTCTGATTAAGGGGGGCTGGAAAGGGGCTGCGAGTCTGCACTTCTCACAAGGTCCCTGTCAAGCCGATGCTGCCAGTGTGCCTGGACCACACTTTGAGCTGCAGGGCTTTAGGGAGCCTGGGACGCAGTACTTCTGCGCTAGGGCACACTGCATGGTCTGCTTTGTACGGTGGCCTCTGAACAGAGGTTTCTGTATCCTTCTGTATCCCTCTGCCATATGTCTGCTGCATCCTCCGTCAATCATATCAGTGTCACCCTTCCTCAGTTTCTGTGTTCTACAGTCCACAGTAGCCACTCTGAGATGACGTCCTCCATCAGAACCCCACCTGTCCCTGTTCCTACAGAGCCCCTTCTTTGACCTCATTGGGAACCCCCCCATGCCCTTAGGCTGCTAGCATCATGACCCCCTCCACACAGTAGCCTGGACTCCAGGGCCAGTTGTTTAAATGGCACATTCTCTTGTCCCCTTGACCTTCCATAGTATCTATCCAGCTGACCCCAGCTCTGGATGAACCTGTCCTCTCTCATCTGTGTGTCACTGGAGCTGGTATGGTGGAATCCCACCCAAGTTCATGCCACTGAACATCAGCCAGGCCCTCGGTGCTCACCGGCTTTCCTTTTACTCATGTACTGGGTTGAATAGTGTTACAATTAATCAAGGAAATCTCAACTAAAATTGGAGTCAGGAAGGCCTGTAGAGGGAGCTCTCATGTTCTACCACTCATCGTCAATTACCCCACACAGGAAGACGTCCATTACAGCACCAGTTAATTACAGAGTCAGTTACAGACCTCAACAGGAAGAGACATACTTGCCTTCCCAGACAGGAAGTGCACCTATTTTACTGCTCCAGCAGGAGGAAGATTTCCTTCTTGCCCAAGAACAAGCCCAGCCAATAGAAACGCCACAGCTCAGCCAATGAGAAGCCATCGTCACCTGAACTTTGACTTTCCTCCAATGAACTTTCATTTTTTCCTTGCTGGTGACTTCCTTTCCCTGCCTCACCCTCTTGACTAAAAAACCTTCCATGTTGTGTAACTCCTCGGAGTATCTCTCTGCTTGCTAGAAGAGATGCTGCCCGATTTACGAATTGTTTAATAAAGCCAGCCAATTAGATCTTCAAATTTACTCAGTTGAACTTTGTTTTTTAACAGTAGTGCCCCCCCACCCAACTCATGTCCACCTGGAATCTGTGAATGTGATCTTATTTGCAAATAGGGTCTTTGCAGATATAATCAAATTAAAATGAGGTCATACTGAATTTGGGTGGGCCCTAACCCAATGACGGGTGTCCTTATAAGAAGAGGGAAGCTTGGACACAGACACACAGAGGGAGGAACACCACGTGAAGATGCAGGGAGACTAGAGCGATGCCGCCAAGCCAAGGAACGAAAAGGATTCCCGGCACCCACCAGAAGCTAGGAGAGAACAAGGAAGGATTCTTCCCTAGAGCCTGCAGAGGGAGCACGGTCCTGCCCACACCTTGATTTTGGACTTCTAGCCTACAGAACTGTGAGATAATCCATTTCTGTTGTTTCAAGCCACCCACTTGTGGTACTTTTGTTATGACATCCCTAGGAAACGAATACACTCACCTCAAAGGTCACTCGATTAAATTCCATTCCCCTCAGCTGCTGTCCCCGACCGTCCCCAGTTTCTGCAAGGCTCCAGCCTCCTGCCAAAGATGCTCCCACTCTGCCCTTCCCCTCAATTCATGTTTTCTCAGCACCGACTGAGCAGCCAATCAACCCTTTCTCCTGTCTTGGAGGAATAAAATGTCCTTTCTCTCTTTCCAAAGCCAACTTTCTCTCTGGGCACTTCTCTCTCTCCTGTCTCCTCTGCGATTTCACTCCATTATTCGCCCCCCCTGCCCCCCCATACTTTCAAACTCTCATCTATGGAAGCCCATGCTGGGATGTATCTCACCAGCAGAAAAGGAGCAGTAAATAAAGGCTGGCTCTTCACAGCTCTTTTGTTCTGCCATCAAGGAGCACACAGGTACTCCTCACCTTGCTTAACCCATGTCACTTAGTAAGCCCCCAAGAAAACCCACAAAACAAATCAAAACATTATACAAGTTCTGGAACTTTGAAGAACAGGAAAAAAGTTGGAGGTACAGGATATCCCCACTTTGCCTTCCTGGGACCAGAACATTTCTGGTTACTACCTCATTTGCTATAAGAAGTCCGGGCTTCAGCTCTGTACAATCTCATGCTGATGATTTCAGAACACGTTCATTTTTATACAACTCCATGCACGCAAATGCTTCTTGAGGTCTGGAGGAGCTTACCTTGGTGGTATTCTCTCCATGGATGGAATCTAATACATGATTCTTTCTGGAAGTCACAGTTTCCTCCCTAGCAGGACTTAACAACTACCAGTCATAAGAGCCACGAACTATGACTCAGGCAGGGGCGAGGGGTGCTGCATGGTGATGCTGACCGTTGTGAGGGCTGAGGTATGACCCGTACCTTGTCTCGCCACGATTAAGCTGGCCATGCAGTCTGGAACGCTCGTGCCTGCTGCCAGGAAAGTAATGCCCATGATGACATCAGGGATCCCAAGTGTGTATCCTATAATGGTCACCTGCGGCAGAAGAGGGGTGGGGCACTGCAACTCACAGAAGAGCACTCCTGGAAACTTTGCTTACCTTGAGTGTTTTTAACTTGAACCCAGTACTGCCGGAACCAACAGAAAAATCGGGACTGTGGTTTTATTTTAAAAACATCTTTTGAGTGTCCTTATTTCCTGATTACATGAGTAATATGCATTTTAAAAAGTTTAGAAAATAAAGTAAAATGAAAATAAAAATCACCTATCTTTTCTCAAGACCCACAGACAACCACTATTAACACTTCCCATCAGCCGATGGTTCTCAAATTCAGGCATGTAAAAAATCCTCTGGCGGGCTGGTTAAAATGCAGACTGCCAGGCCCCACCCCTGAGTCTGATTAGGAGGTCTGGGGTAAAGCCCAAGAATCTGCATTCCTAAACTGTTCCCAGGTGGTTGGGAACCTGAGGCTGCTGGTCTGGGAACCGCGTTTGAAAACCACTGCTTCAGAATACATCCTTGATCTTCATTTTGCTGTATTAGAAAAAAATGAAATCAGATTATACTAGCAACATGCATTTTGCACCTATTTGTTTCATGTAGTAACACAGCGTCAACACCTTTCCATCTCAGATATTCATCGACAACATTATTTTAAGCTGATGCATAGATTTCATTGCATGGCTGTAAAGTTTTAGCCAATCCCTCACTGGTGGATACCGAGGTTTCTCTCTTTGCTCTTACAATATCACTGTGTATAAGTAACATCTATTGAGCACCTACTGTGTACCAGGTGTTTTACTTTCATGACCTCATGTACTACTCTATTATTCACCATCCACCGATGAGGGAGGCACTATTATTATGCCCATTTTACACCCTTTTCAGAGGCTAAGTAACAACGCCCGTGGGCTTGAAGCTGGAGAGAAGTAGAGCAGGGATTCCAGGCTAAGTCTTTCTCTAACGGCTGGGCTCCAACCTCGCCATCGTGCTGCTGTGCGCGCACATCTCTGGGGTCTCGTTTTACTACCTCTTTAGGATAAGTTCCAAGAAACAGAACTGCTGGATCAAAGGATATGCAGGTTTTTAAGGATCTTGATACATAGTCACATACTCTTTTAATACATGTCTGACACTTGAGAGATGGTTGGGACTCTGAGCAGCAGCCAGATGGAAAGGCCTAGAAGCATTTGGACAACCCCATTCAAAACACCCACTAGCTCTGACTTGCTTCCCCATCTAGAAAATGGGAACAGTGGCCCCTCCTAGGGTTCTTCACATCTCAGCTGATGGCTCCAATCCCAGTAAATGGCTGTGTAACTTAAAACAAGCTAGTTTGTGTCTCTAAGCCTCAGCTCCCTCATCTGTAAAATGGGCTTGTTAACAAGGATTAAGTGAGAAAATGTGGGGTGACAGTGCCTGACCTGTGCAAGATGTATGTTTCCTTTCTCTTTCAATCTCTTGTCTTGCAATCTCTAGGGACAGAGAAAATGAGGGTGATCAGATTCACAGGGCTCAGAGAGCCCCAGAAGAGTGTGTTTTCTAAGTGCAAAGCAGAGCCCTGGAATGTAGCCAAAGCATATGGACTAAAGCGCTTCCCGCCTAGGACAAAGCTTTGCAGAGGGCTGTGACGATGCACCATGCCCGAAAGCGAGTGCTCAGCTCAGTATCACAAGGCTCGTGGGACGTCATTTACGCAGAGTGCGGGGCAGAGTGCACACTGACGGGTCTGCTCTGGGCCCTGCAAGGAGAGGGACACTGAGGAGGGCAAAATGAGCAGCTGACCCATCAGTGCTGAATCCACACTGGCCATGAAGGAGGCCTCCACAGGCAAAACCAGGCTGCAGCTGACGTGGTTTTAACGGGGGATGCCAGAAATCATAAATACGGGAGGCTAGGATATTCTGGCATTATTGGGCATGGCTATTTTTATTTACATGGCTAAGAAGTTGAAGGATGGAAGGACAGAAAGAAGGAGGACTGTGTGTGTGTGTGTGTGTGTGTGTGTGTGTGTGTGTGTGCGTGCGCGCACGCGCGCACCATCCAAGGCATCAGGACCAGAGACGCTACCTGAGCCCTCCTTTGCCCTGGACTCCAGCCCTGGGCCCTCTGAGCCCTCCGGGGCTCAGCCTTCAGAAAAGAAAGCAGAGCCGAGTCCAGAGCTCGGAGGCTGACCATCACATGACCCTGTGGACGTCATGCCTCCTCTTTGGTCCTCAGCCTCACAACGTGCAAGGGTGCTGGACAGGACAATCCATTTCCACAGTCCCTCCCTCTGACACTGACATTCAAGAATCATTTTCCCCGAGGCCTTGGGAGTGAGAAACGTGAAGGTGGTGGGAGTAAGGGGTGGACATGGGAGCTGTGACTGCTTCTTGGCGCCCCCACCAGGGCATAATGAAAGGGAGTGCATGGCCCTCGGGCCGGCACATCTGGCTTAGGTAGACATCAAGTTAACAGGTGGCACTCTCGTCTTAACCAATTTCTACTGTTGAGGCCATTCCATTCCCCCAAACTGAGGCCAGCTGAAGTTCAAAACTACAGGTAAGGTGGTTCCTGCGACTCCGGCCAAGCCCTTTGCTACGACTCTGCTTTAAGAAGCCGGGCTGGCATTTGTAAGTCAAGGTGGTGGGGGCAGTGTCATTAAATGTCCCACTTCACTGCAATTAGTTGAACTGATTTCATAATACCGTTATTTTCAGTAATGAGAGAAGAAAAAATTTCACACACGCATGAAATTGATCTTCCCTAATTCTCACACCCAGTCAAACGTCATGAAATACCTTTTTTTACTTGCAAGGTTGTTTTGGGAATGTGCTTTTGTAAGAGAAATCATCGATCCCTTTATCAAATATAAAGACGGGCTGGCCTCTAGCCCGACTCAGAAAATTCAAATTCAATTCATTTAAGGCACAGTTTCTCTTTGATTGTCATCCTTTTCTGGCGTGTCTGGATGGTAGCTATTTTCAGTTCCTCCCCCACCCCAACACACACAGGCACACACAGAGGCATCTATGGGGATTTCAACCTTCATCTGAACAAAGCATGGCATCAGTGTGGGCTGCACCTCATGGTGAAAACGGCTGATATTTACAGTCATGAGCAATTTGCCATGCTGCTCGCGCAGACCATGATGCCTGAACAGAGCCTTTCCCCACCAAACTGCTCCTCTGCGGTTAGCGGAAAGGTGGTCCCGCGGCCTCATGCCCTCTCTGCACCAGGTGTGAGGAGGATGTGAAATGACCGCATGGGCACCACTAAGGTGAGTGGCTGACAGGTGAGCATCATGATGGAAACACAGCCGTCCTGTACCCACTTTTCCTCTCCCTGCTTCTGGGCTCCCAGGCAGGATGAGGAAGGAGAGGGACCCCACAGGGTGGTACACAAAGCAAGGTGGAAAGGGGTCCTGCCTGGCCCAGGCCAGCCAAGGAAAGGTTTGTACAGGGAGCTGTCACACATGGCCAGAGTTGCTTACAAGGAGCTATGCCAATGCCTCTCCACCTGCAAAACCTCAGTCCAAACGGCATCTGAAAATTCCAGTAACAAACTGAGAGGCAGTTCAGGATAGCGGTTGAGATAGTGGACTCAGGAGACCAACACTGGGTTCTAACCTCAACTCTAGAACCCACTAATTATGTAACTAATTGTGTAACAGTTGCTAATTGTGTAACTAATTGGGCAAATTACCCAATCTCTCTATGCCTCAGTTTCCTCATCTGTAAAATGGGCATAATAAAAACGCTTACTGCATGGGGTTGTGATGAGGACTTAGAGTTTATGTGAAGTTTATACATGTGCCTGAATGTGCAAGGGGGAAGGGAAGCATCCCTCAGCAGGGGGCTGAGAAAGGGCTATTTGTGTTCATCTCCCACTGACTCCAGTCTCCCTCACATTCCCTGGGGGGCACCCCGGAAAGGAAGGGAGTCCAGTGATTAGCCCTCCAGAGTGCTTTGCAGAGAAGTCATCAAGGTATTAGGCCCAGGCCTTGACTTCCAGTCCACACACCCGCGCCATATTACTCTGCCCATCCCGACAGGGCAGCGTGTTTCAGGCTGCCCGTGTCCCTTCCCCACGCCTGTGTCCATCTGGGTATCCCGGTGCACAGCTCGGCACCATGCTCCTCTGCTGAAACCCCTTTCTACTGAGAAATAAGCCGAGGCCTGTCAAGGTAGGTGACTTGCCAAAGGTGGCACAGCAGTGCCGGAGGTCACTCTCCCCCCTCTGGCAGGTGCTGAGCAAGGGCTGTCCGTACAGTCCACACCTGATCCCCCTACTCACCAGCCACACCATCAGGTAGGAGAAGACGGCGATCCACAGCGTGGCGGTGACGAAGGTGACCATGAAGAACTTCTCCCAGCGGGGCTTGCTGCAGTTGGGGACGGTGATGCACAGGAGGAAGATGAGTGGCCAGGTGAACACCCACTTGGCCTTGTCCCCTCTTGCCTCTGCAGAGGGATGGGGTGGAGCCAGAGGGGAGGGGGAGAGAAACACACACTGGGTTACACACCTGCCAGTCCACCTGTCAGTTTATTTTTTCAAGCCAAACAAGAGAATGTCACCAACGTGATTCCAAGCAACCGACCTCAAAGAACCACACACTTCCATAGTGTCACCCTGGAAGTGATCTTAGCGAGACCATTCAGTAAGTGTTTGCTGATTGAATAACTGCAGTTGGTCCAAATCCTTCATTTGACAGAATAAAGAAGTGAGCCCCAGAGTGGGAAGGGATTTGCCCAGCGGAGCTGGAATGGGGATATGGAATATGAATGGGCTTTGGAATGAGACAGACTTGGGTTGGAATTTAAATGCCCTTGAGCAATCCCATCAACTCCTCTGACAATAACAGTTGTAGTAACAACAACACAACATATGGAGTATTTGCTCTGTAGAGGGCACAGTGCTGAGCACTTTGCATTTTAGTAGTTTCTTCATCTGTTAAAGGGGAACGTTATCTTTTTCTTGTTTGTTCAAAGAATGATGTGATACAATGTACATAAAACACTCAGCACACAGAGCCTGGCACATAGTAGGTACTCTGGAAATCTCAGCTCCTTTGCTCTAAGGTCATATACACAACCAGTGGCAGATGTGAGACTAAAATGTGGTGTCTTGGCTGGCATGGATGACCTCACTGGCCCCTACCACGGGAATCCACAGACAATTCAACTGAGGAAAAGTGGCCTCAAAAAGCCACCAAGGGCAGGCATAGTGTCCTTAATAAGCCACTGAGTACAGTGTGCACATGTAGGCTCAAAATCAGCTGGTTGGTGGTGCCAGCCCGGTGGCGCAAGTGGTTAAGTGCACACGCTCCGCTGTGGCAGCCTGGGGTTTGCTGGTTCGGATCCCGGGCGTGTACCAACACACTGCTTGGCAGGCCATGCTGTGGTGGCGTCCCATATAAAGTGGAGGAAGATGGGCATGGATGTTAGCCCAGGCCCAGTCTTCCTTAGCAGAAAAAGAGGAGGATTGGCAGATGTTAGCACAGGGCTGATCTCCTCACACACACACACACAAAATCAGCTGGTTGGTGATGCCAATGAAATGGGGCAGGAAGGAGCTCTGAAAATTCTCTCCTCCGTAAAAGCAAGAACACTGGCAAAAATTGTCAGAATCAACTTTCCTCAGAACTCTGGAAATTAACCAAAGGCTTGTAGCAATCCAGGGAGTGTTTATTTAGGAAAACTGGCTGGATCTCAGCAAGAACAGCAAGCTTCGTGGAGTTTTAACTTGCCCTATTTCCATTCCCTCTCACCAGCTCTGGAGTAGCCTTGAAAACCAGCAGCCTGGCCTCCACCAGACGGGGGAGGACAGGGTTAGAGCTCCTTCCAAGTCCATTCCCAGAGAAACTGGCATTATTTGACCTCTCTGGTGGTTTCTTGGAAGACCCCACTTTCAAGGCTGTCTTTATTTTACCTGAATCAGAGCCCAGCCAGTGTGAATAGCCTTTTCTTTGGGGGCATTTGTTGAAAACAATCAGAGGCAACTGTTGAACATCATGCTGCCCCAGGTGGTGGATAACAATTGGGACAAACAATGGGCTAACCAAAAAGCTTAAAAGGAAAAGCTGGGGAATGAATACCTTAGAGGGCTTTGCAAAGCTCCTACATATTTCTGGGAATCTCAAAGACCCCGAGCATGCATAGGGCTGTGCCCGGGGATATTTACATGCTCAGGAAAGACTTGAGAATGCCCTAAGCTTTCACCTCTGCCTAACACTGAAGCTCTGAGCAAGCAGGAAGGAAAGGCTAAGATGGGGTTGTAAACTGCCTGCCTGAGTGTTGAAGGCATGCCCGCCAAAACACACAGAGCACATAGGCAAAGACTGGGAGACTTCTTAGATCCAGGCATCTAAGGAAATCTCTGTGCAGTCATTAGATGACTGAGGCTAACCCAGTAGATATTTCAGGGGCCAAATACAACAAGGAATATAGATTTTACACAATTAGTTGAGAAGAGTCACCAAACAAACAAACAACAACAACAATAGCAGCAACAGCAGCCCTGGAAGGGAGAAGGATCTGATTCCTAGAGTTGTCAAATTACATTATTTAAAATGCCCACTTTTTAATAACAACAAAAAATTACAAGATGTGCAAAGAAACAAGAAAGTGTGGCCCACACACAGGAAAAAAGCAGTCAACAGAAACTACCCCTGATGAATTCCAGACATTGAACTTACCAGCCAAAGACTTTAAATCAGCTCTTTTTGAATATGCACAAAGACGTTTTTAAAATGTCTAAAAAACTAAAGGAAAGGATGAGAATGATTTCGCACCAGAGAATATCAATAAAGAAGTAAAAATTATAAGAGAGCCAACAGAAATTCTGGAGTTGAGAAGTACAATAACTAAAATTAAAAATTCACTACAGGGGCTCAACAGCAGATTTGAGCAGGAGGAAGAAAAAAGTCAATGACCTTGAGGATAGATCAACTGAGATTATCTAGTCTCAGGGACAGGAAAAAAAAAAAAGAATGAAGAAAAATGAACAGCTCTTCAGAGACCTGTGGCACACCATCACACACACAAACATATGCATAATGGGAGTGCCAGAAAGAGAGGAGAGAGAAAAAGGGGCAGGAAGAATATGTGAAGAACTTAGGTTCAAAAACTTCCCAAATCTGGTGAAAAACATTAATAGATACATTCAAGAAGAATACACATTCTTCTTAAGTTCACATGGAACATTCTCCAGGATAGACCAAATGTTAGGTCATAAAACAAGCATCAATAAATTTAAAAAGATTTAAATCATGCAAAGTGTGTTCTATAACCATTCCACAGTGGAAAGAAGTTAAAAATCAGTAACAGAAGGAAAACTGGAAGATGCACAAATATGTGGAAATCAAATAACACACTTCTAAAGAACCAATGGGTCAAAAAAGAAATCACAAGGGAAATTAGAAAATACTTTGAGATGAATGAAAATGAAAACGTAACATGCCAAAACTTACGGGATGCTGTGAAAGAAGTGCTTAGAGAGAAAATTATATGTAAATGCCTACATTAAGCAAGTGGAAAGATCTTAAGTTAATGACCTCATCTTCCTCCTTAAGAAACAACAAAAAAAGAGCACAGTAAGTCCAAAAAAAGCAGAAGGAAGGAAATAATCAAGATTAAAGTGGAAATAAATGAAACTGAAAATAAAAAAACCAATAGAGAAAATCAATGAAAAGTTGGTTCTTTAAAAAGATCAACAAAATTGACAAACCTTTAGCTAGACTGATGAAGAAAAAAAGAGAGAAGATTCAAATTACTAAAATCAGGCATGAAAGAGAGTCACCACTATGGACTTTACAGAAATAAAAAGAATTATTACAGAGCACTATGAACAATTGTGTGCCAACACATTAGACTACCTAGCTGAAACAGACAAAATCCTATAAAGACAGAAACTACCAAAACTGACTCAAAAAGAAATAGAAAATCTAAATAGACTTATTACAAGAGACTGACATAGCAATAAAAAAACTTCCCTTAAAATAAATCCAGGACCAGGTAGCTCCATGGTGATTTCTACCAAATGTTTAAAGAGAGAATGAATGAATCCTTGACAGACTCTTCTGAAAAACAGAAGAGGAGAGAACACTTCCCAGTTTGCTCTATGAAGCCGGTATTACCCGATACCAAAGCCAGACATTAAGAGAAAAGAAAACTATAGACCAATATCCCTTACGAATATAGATGCAAAAATCCTTAACAAAATTCTGGCAAACTGAATCCAGCAACATATAAAAAGGATTAGACACCATGGCCAAGTGGCATTGATCCCAGGCATGTAGGCTTGGTTCAACATATGAAATTCAATCAACCCAGCATACCAGAACAAAACTGCACAATCATGTCCATTGAGGCAAAAAAGGCATTTGACAAAATCCAACACCTTTTCAAGATAAAACACTCAACAAACTAGAAATAGAAGAGAATTGCTTCTACTTGGCAAAGGGCATTTACGAAAACCCCCCAGCTAACTAAGATCATACTTAACGGTGAAAGACGGAAAGCTTTCAACAAGATGAGGATGTCTGCTCTTACTGCTTATATTTGACATTGGACTGGAGGTTTCAGCCAGGGAAACTAGGCAAGAAAAAGAAGTAGACGTCATTCAGATGGGAAAGGAAGAAGTAAAACCAGCCCTATTTGTAGATGGCATGGTCTTGTATAGAGAAAATTCCAAGGAATCCATAAAAAAACTATTAGAACTAATAAACAAGTTCAGCCAAGTTGCAAGATACAAGATCAATACACAAAATTTAGTTGTATTTCTATACACTAACAATGAACAATTAAAAATGAAACCAAGAAAACAATTCCATTTACAATAGCATCAACAAGAAAAAAATACTCAGGAGTAAATGTAACAAAAGAGGTACAAGATTTATATGCTGAAAACTACCAACATCATCAAAGGAAATCAAAGAAGACCTAAATAAATAGAAAGACATCCTGTACATGGATCGGAAGACTTAATATTAAGATGGAAATACTCCCCAAACTGATCTACAGATTCAGTGCAATCCCTATCAAAACCTCAGTTGGCGCTTTTTGCAGAAATTGACAAGCTGATTCTAAAATTCACATGGAAATGCAAAGGACCCAGAATAGCCAAACCAATCTTGAAAAAAGAACAAAGTTGAAGTATTTACATGCCCTGATTTTAAAACTTACTACAAAGCCACAGTAATCAAGAGAGTGTGCTACTGGCATAAAGATATATAGATCAATGGAACAAAATTTAGGGTCCAGAAATAAACCCATACATTTAAGGTGAATTAATATTTAATAAGGGTGTCAAGACAATTTAACAGGGAAAGAATAGTCTTTTTAACAAATGGTGCTGGGACAACTGTATACCCACATGCAAAAGAACGAAATTAGATCCCTACCTCATACTATATACAAAAATTAACTCTAATTGAAGATCTAAATATAAGAGGTGAAACTAT